ATGAGCTTCATGAGGGAGTTGGGTTGGAGTTCACCTCCAACTTCACCACCAGCGACGCCGGCCTTCTTCTTCCTCCATTTGACGCCACAGAGTGTGATAATGCGGTTCATCAGGGCACGCTTCCAAGGAGTCTTTTCACCTTCCAGATAGTCATACAAGACGTAATCCAACGCGACAAAATCCCCCTTGGCTTGGAGGTACCGACAGTTGACTTTGACAAAGAGCCGTCGTGACCAGTCTGGTTAGATTCCTTCAGAGTATCTTCCATCCGTTTGACACAAGCAATCTTCCGCGCTTCGCGTTCCTTGGTGTTACCGCCACGCTTACAATTGTCAACGAGATCCTGCTCGTCTCCAAAATCTTCCGTGGAATCATTCATCAGACGCAGATCTCTTCTAGGCTCCGCTTTCTTCTTGAGTACTTGCGGGAAGAGCGAATTCTCAAGCTCGGGTAAACCAGATGGAGCTGGTGGCGGTGGAGCCTTGGATCGGGATCGAGTGGTGGAAGGGGGCGAGGAACAGACTTGGACTTCTTTTGGTATGGGTTTGGCCCGGTTTCTTGGCTGTCCCTGTCACCAGAGGATGGTTTTGCCGGTGGTGCTCGGGATGAGGCACGACGGCACCAGCATTTCCTACGAGTGGACAACCAGTTCCTTCATGGGTGGTGCGACGGGGCGATTTCTTCGGTTTGCCTCTTTTGCGTTTGTTACCACGAGAACCAACGGTGGAAGCTACAGTGGAATGAGCGTCATTCCCGTCCAATTCCTCGTCCCGCTCTGGTTCCATCAATACTGGCGTGTCGTCTACCTGACCTTGAGGATCATCTTGTGGTTCCGTTTCAAAATTGGTGATAGATTCACCCGTTTCGCCAAAAGCCCGATCTTGTTTCTCCCAACGATCGTCAAACGAATGAAGGGCAGCGGCACGGTTCGACTCTTGTTGCTCTTGGTGGGCCGATCGAAGTCTCATTTTCCGCGCTTGCTTTGGATCGGCTGGGAGCGGCGGTGGTGGATTTGCTGGTGCCGCGGCGGCTAGAGGTCGAAATTGGAGAAGGAGGCTGGCATTTTCGACTTGAGAGAAGGTATGGCAGTTTTCCTTGTTGGAGGTGTCGTCTGGAGAAACGGCAGAGAGTTGAGCGAGTTGCAAGGGAGAGCCATCTTCGCTTCCAGAGCCTTGGTCGTCTTCATCCTCGCTAGAATCTGAGGAGTCATCTGGAGGTGGTAAATTGAATTCCTCTTTGGCGTCGGCATTACTCTGCAAGGTGAGTTCACCAGTGGCTTGACTCCAGTGTACAGTTCCTTGACTGTTGTGTTGAGTAAACTCCACAATCTCTTCGTCATCTTCGGCCCCATCAATTTCTTCCTGTACCGCCAACAATGCTCTTTCATTGCCATTAGCAGTGGCTTCTGCTATTGAGGCAATCTGGGAGAAGAGAGATCGACCAGTACCTTGGAAGGACCCTTTGGAGCGAGTGGAGCGACCAGTTGACATGATGACCGACCGCTTCTGGCGCAGAGGCAAAGAGGACTAGCGTGAGGTAAGCAGAGAACACTGACGTGGATTGGACTGTCACTTGACAACTCTGAACTCTCACTCACCACCCTACTAGTACGTCAAAGATTGACAGATGCCTGACACACTGGAGATGGCGTGACCTTTGACTGGTAAAGGCGGCAATAGGAGCCACTAGTGACTCGGCAACGGTGACGGTTTGGGTTGCGTGATGTTGTGGCAATGGCGTCGGATCAAGGTTTGCCGCATCGGAGTCTGCAATTGGATTTGGAGAGCCGAAATGGCGCCATTTGGGTTGGCTTCAAACTCAAAATGTGAGCTAAATTATTTTTACTTAGAAAACTCCAATTGATTACTTAGGGCGTGATTGTCACATGTTTCCAGAAGATACGCTCTTCCCCCCCCTGTGCTCACCTGTCACGAGAGCTCGCCCGGCCGGCTTCGACCTAAATGTCAATCCTGGATTGACATTTAGGTCTCATCCGGCCGGGCTCCCTCTCGTTCCAGGTTCACACTTGTTGGTGGAAGACCGTTCCTCTACAGACTCAGTCACATTTTCGCCCGCAAACGCTTTTGTTTTTCGCTTTTCGTCTTGATCTCTCACAGTTTGGGCGTTTGGGCGTTTGAGAGTTTGAGAGCAGTCTCCTTGTTTTTCAATGAAGATGGCGCCTTATGGACATGACCAACGTCGCTGTGGAGGCCGATGGAAGGGCCCCCCTCGTCGTGATCGAGCGAGGAATGGTCATCCAGGACAACAGTGGTCTCGTCATTCTTATCCTCAAGATGCTAGACGCAGCGAACCAAGTCACGGTTCATTCGGACGGCAGCAGCATCATCCTCCTGGCAGATGGGGACATTCTTCTGGTGGCCATCAAGGCCAAGAACAACGGCCCTCCTTTCCTCGTTGTATGACGGAGAGTCCTCCTCGTGGTCAATGGAGACATGCTTCGGGTCCTCCTGGTCAACGGGGACGGCTGCCTCCTGCTGATAATCGATTCCGACGGTCCTCCCATCCGCCAGATTTTGCGGCAACAAATGGTCGTGAAGGACACAAGCGATCGAGATCGCTTTCTTCAGACAGACGCAACGATACCAGAGGACTTGGGCGGCAGAGAGAATCATGTGGCAGCAATTACAGAACAACCGATGGTGATGAAGGGCACAAGCGGTCACGCCACGACAGAGACAACGATCAAAGCCAGGGACAGTCTCGCCTCCAGCAGCCATCTCAAAAGTCCAAATATCATAAGAATGATGATGGAGCCGTAGCCAGCAGTCGAAGCCAGCAAATGCCCCAGTCTCGCCACCAGCAACCAACACACTCCGATCGTGCCGCGAAGACTTCTCCTCCGCGTCATGTCCCGATAGGCAACGCTCGCACAGCACAGGGACAATCTCAAGACTGCAAACCTCTGCGTATCACTGCAACTGAAAATCGAGAAAAAAGCTACAAGCCTTCACAGAATCATTCTGCTTCTGTTGATCCTCCTATCAAGTATCCCATGGCCACCTTGGGTGCCGTTCAGCATCTCTTCAGCCAGGACAAACAGCAACAACAACAAGCAAAATGGCAAGATCAAGCCCCTCTCATTGAGCATTCTCCCAAAGCAATTGCCGTCGACAAGCAGGGAAAGTCACTTGATTTGAAGGATCCGAAAGCCACAGCCAAGACCAATGATCGAAGCAACAGCAACAGCAACAGCAACAGCAACATCAACGCCACGCCTATCAAGAATCCCATGTCCACCTTGGGAGCCGTCCAACATCTCTTCAGCCATGGCAAGCAGTCACATGATTTGAAGGACCCGAAAGCCACGGCCAAGTCTAATGATCGAAGCCATAGCAAAAGCACTGGTGGATCGGAGATTGGCAAACCTCAGAAAGTGGCTAGAGCAGCGGCCGCTGAAAATGATGTTGCAATTGCAGACAACGAGAAGAAGACAGCAGCCAAGCAACAGTCAGGTGCGATGAAAGCTTATCTGGACGGTTATGGTACCGATAGTGACGAGGAGGAGGAAGACAAGAGCAACGACGAGCAGCAGCAGCAGCCTATTTCCCAACGGTCTCAGCCCCGCGTGCAGCATCAAAAGTCCGATCTGAAGAAGCGTCCTCATCAAGCCAGCAACAGTAATGATCGCGTCGCATTCCGACAAAACAAACGCCTCGACACAAAACAAGTGCTGGGGAGATCAGTGTTGGCTTCGTTGGAGAACAAGGTGGCTCGGCGCCAATCAAAACCAAAGGAGCTCCCCAAGCAAACACCAAGCAGCACTGTCGCAATCAGCATCAGAGACACCAAGATGCAGGCGGGCGAGACCGAACACAAGGACAACCAGGCTTCAAAGCAAAACAGCCACGACCGCGACCAACACGACAAAGCAACGGGGTCGGTAGCTGAGACCGTCTTCGACGCCGGGACCAACATCAGTGCTGAAGCACACACGGGCAAGATCAAATTGGCCGGCAAACCCAAAGATCCTCCAAAAGTTGACGAGAAAGACTTCATCATCAAAGCGTCGGCAAAAGAATCAAAAGACCTGGGTACATCGGATGCTGTCCTTGCTACAACTACCGCAGCTCCAGTGACCACGGAAGTCACATTGAATGGATCAGCCGAAGCAGCTGTCGCAAAACCAAGAGAAATGACTACGGATGGAGCATCCACGAAAGGACTGTCAGCCGGTGAACTCCTCTTTTCGGGCTTTTATGCAACCAAGGAATCAGGTGTGGACGGCAAGCGCACGAAAGCGACGGAGACGGGCACAAAGCAGGCTACCAAGAAAACAAAGAAGAAGAAGAAGAAGAAGAAGCAAACCGTGGCTGACCGGGTGCTCCGCTGCAATCCTGCTCTCAGAACCAATGTCGCAATCGGAACTCACCTGGTCTTTGCGGTCGATTCCTCTAAGGTAATGAAACAGGGTACAAGCGGAGTGTCGGCTGGAAACAGTCTATCGAAATGGAAGGTTGTGTTGGATGGCATCAAAGGATTGCTTCCAGAGCAGCTCACGGGCAACGGCGATCTCGTGATTTCCCTCGTCACGTTTCACATGGACAAGGCCCAAACGATCTTGGAGCGAATCCCTCTTACTAAAGACTTCAAAAGCAGCACCATTTGGAAAGAACTTGACTCTCTCTCCGGGTGCAAACCAAGTGGCAACACTGGCTTCAGTACAGGACTTGAAGCAGCCCGGGTTGTTGGATCGAACAAGGAGCGGGGGCCGAGCAACCAGCGGGTCGTGTTGGTTTTCATGGCCGCTGGGCGGCCTCTCGATCTTCAATCACAGCTCTCCAGCCACCTGCTGGCCAAGGGTCAAAAGAAACAGAAAGTCTCACCAGGTCAATCCATTGCAGCAATGCAGCTCGAGCATGGAGCTCGCTTCAAGCTTCATTTGGTCTCACTTAATGTGCAGGCCAAACCGGTAAGAGACACTTCCTTGCATTGAATGCTTCGAATGCTTCATCTGTTGGTCTGCGCAGTTCCACGAACTAGTCTGAACGCTGCTTTCAATTTCTCCTACAGTGGTTGGAAAACCTGTCAAATCGATACAAGGGAACATTGCATGATCCGATGGAGCCGCTAGTCCGGAAGGATGGTTCTTTCGTTGAACCGGACATTGAGCCAGTCTTTCGATCCATTTCATTATCCGTAACTGCAATCCGCGGTACCCAGTACCACACTGCCACTGCAACCCGCGACGGACAAGCATCGGACTCGGCACCTGAGGGTGGAAAAGTAATCATGACAGCGCATCTTGCAGATCCGGCTAGTGGCATCACCGCGCCCCGTCGACAGGTCATCTTGCCTCGAATGGAAGTTACTACGGATGCCACGACTTCAGCAGTTTCAACGCTTCCATTTGAACCCATAGACCCCGTCACTGGACAGCCTCGAGATACCGGGAAGCGCAAGCACACAAACCTTCCCGCCTGGATGACTCGCAAGCAATCAGTACCCGAGAAAGACCAGTGCAAACCTCTTGCTGAAGACTCCAAAGTTCCAGCGGTGTCTGAGAAAGACAACTCTACGAGTAGTAGCTCGCAAGTTCCTGCTGTGCTTGGAGCCGTCGTTGCTGATCCCAACCAGAACTCCAGTCCTCCAGCTATCCCGGAAGGCCCACAATTTCCTGCTGTGCTTGGAGCCATCGTTGCTGAACACAACCAGAACTCCAGTCCTCCAAGTCCTCCAGGTATCCCGGAAGGCCCACAAGTTCCTGCTGTGCTTGGAGCCGTCGTTGCTGAACCAAAACAGACAGAAATCCAGCCAATGACAGTAAATGAAGACGAGAACCTGCAAGTTCGGGCCACTGGCCACCGAATGCACTTGAACTCGCCAGCATGGATGACTCGCCCAAAGGAACAGGAAGCAGAAGCCGAGAAAGCAGCTGTGGAGTCGAACGCGACGATCGAGTGAAGAAAAGCGTACTGTACGCATGACTTCCTTCGGGGGTTGCACCGAGGACTGAGAAAGATGGGAGAGCGCCGTTTCAGCGGATGACAAATCGAGCTCAAGGGAGCTCCTCGTCCACGACATTCTTCGCCATACAAACGACGTTGGCGGGTCTTGTGAGAATGCAGTAGAGCAATTAAAAATAATCCAACACGACGAGAAACGGATGCGCTATGCGAGCTTCCGTAACTAGTAGTCATCTAGTCCAAGTTCGAAGCTTTGAAGGAGTGTGCGGTGCCATACCGCTAGTGGGATTGTACGGGTGCGGGTTGCGTGTGTTCTGTAATGCTTCAAACCATCTTACTCGTGCCGGTAGCCAGTGGGGTACATGTACTCGGTACTATACGATGAACGCAACATGAGTTGGAGTCTCCGTGTAGATTATAGATTTTGCTTCTTCAAAGCCAGATTGTTGTTGGGATATTTCGCGAAGGCAGGCAGGCAAACAAGGTGTGCTTCCTGCTGCTTTTCTTAGTTGACCTTTACATTCCATCCGTATGTATCTTCGACTTCACCATTCTGAATATCCCTGACTTTCTTGTACAGTCTTAGTGTTGTTTCTCCAATTTCACCATTCTGTTCTCCAAATTCATACTTTTTCTCGGATCCATCTTCCAAAAACCGTGTAATACTGCCCACCGGTGTCACCACGACTGCCGTTCCCACGGCCAAGACTTCATCGAACTGGTCCAATTCTTCTACAGGAATGTCGCGTGCTTCTACCTTCAATCCTTCGTCTTTGGCAATGGTCATTAGGGACTTGTTGGTGATGGATGGCAAGACGGAAGGTGATTTGGGTGTGACAAATGTGTTGGCCTCATTGTTGATTCCGACAAAGTTGCTGGTACTAAACTCTTCCACCATAGACTGTGTGGCCGCATCGAGGTAGAGTCCAATGGGGAATCCCTTCTTTTTCCCCAACATGTTTGGCAACAGATCGGCGGCATAATTTCCCGCGACCTTGACATTGCCCACCCCACGAGGTGCTGCTCGATCAAAGTCTTCAATCAACAATCCATCGACGGGTGCCGAGAGTCCACCCTTGTAATAATCTCCCACGGGAATGACGAGGATCAAAAAGGTGTATTCGTCGGCCGGTTGCAATCCAATTTTGGGTCCACTGCCGAATAAAAGTGGCCGAATGTAGAGTGCTCCACCGGATCCGTAGGGTGGCACATACTCGATATTGTCGCGTACGACCTCTTTACAGGCATTGACAAAGACATCGGTGGGAATCGCGGGCATGAGAGTTCGTTCACAACTATTTTGCATGCGCTTGGAATTTTCGTCGGGTCGAAAGATATTGACGGATCCATCTTCATGAGCGAATGCTTTGAGACCTTCAAAACATGCCTGACCATAATGCAGGGCGGTAGCTCCAATGTGTAGATTGATATAGGGTTCCTGATGATAATAATGATGATATATAGTTGGTGTGGGTATATGACGAGCGCGGTGTGGGTATGGGAAGACACAAATCCAATGGGTATAAGTTTAATGGGTGAGATGAAGAAGAGAAAGATAATGGAATGCACTCGCGAAGAGGAATGCACTCGCGAAGATGATGATACCCTTCTCTTCTTACCTTGACAAGTTCTGGCTTTCCCCATTCCCCATCCTTGAAGGTGAGTCGGATATGACTGTTGGTGGGTCGAAATTCAAAGCCTAGCTCATTCCAGGGGGTATCCATTTTGGCCGTTCCTGGTGCTTTGAGGGACTCGGAGGCTACCATATTCAAGGACGAGCCCTGTCGCAGTTGTTGTGTGTGCTGCTGCAGGGGCGAAGTTGTAGGTGTTTTCAGAACAAATCCCTGGCAGGCAGTCAGAGCCAGGGAAGCAAAAAGGGCGGACGAAAATCTCATCTTGAGTGGTTCTGATGATGGATTGTTGTCTATGATGGATGGACCCGACAAGAAAGCTCTTTGTAATTGTGAGAAGCTGTGGACGGGCTCTCAAGGGCGAAAAGTTCCGAAAAGGAGCTTGTGCCTGGCGCCCGTTTGGTTGGGGTGCACGTTTCTTCGGGTTGAGGAAGCTTTTCTCGTTTGATGGGTTATCAGCTCAAAACACGTACTCACAAGCTTTTGAAAGCGGTGCTTCTTGACACCTTCAATGTGCCAATGATTGCACCATCAACCTCGTCTGATAGTTTGTAGTGCTTGTTCAAAGCATCTATCTTATCTCCTATTGAGTATTGGTAGCTTGGAACTAACTTATTTGCTTATCCAAGGTACCGGTACACCATGTTTGTAGCCAAATTGGTCAGTCTCTTCCTATTGGTGGCATCCGGGCAAGTTGGAGCTTTTGCCTCCACATCTTCGCCACTGTTACGAGTAGAATCCTGGGCACTGCATCGGAACTATAATAGCAACAAGAACAACAATCCACTACTAGTTTCCAATACTTCTCCAAGAAGACAATCTGCTTCCTCCGTGAGCTTGGCGCTGGCGTTTCCTCGTGGTGGAGCAGCAGCAGCAGCTGCATCGGAATCCGTACTCTCCAAGTTATCCAAATGGAACTCGACTCCCTCCACGTTGTTCAATACATCTCTGATTGCCTTGGCATTGATCACGGCCGTCTTCAAAGTGGCACAACGAGCCGAATCCTCTAGTAGTGACGATGCTACCGAAGCTACCGCCAAACCCGCCAGTATCGTATCCCTCCAACGACGGTTCTTGGCCGTATTTTGGTTGCTACGATGTGCCGATTGGCTACAAGGACCTTACTTTTACGAAGTCTATGCCTCCAAAGTTTTTAATGGAGCCAAGGCATCCATGAGTTTGGTCAGTAAGCTATTTCTCACGGGATTTGCTTCCACGGCACTCTTTGGTCCCCTGGTCGGGCGTGCCACGGACAATTACGGACGCAAAAAGGGAACCTTGGCATTTTCCATCATTTACGCCTTGGGGGCCATTTCCACAAAAAGTCCACTCCTCAAGGTACTCTTCTTGGGACGAGTTTTGAGCGGCATTGGAACCAGTCTCTTGTTTAGTGCACCCGAATCGTGGCTTGTGGGAGAAGCACAAAAGAGTGGGGATGATCCCAATGGAAAATATCTGGGAGAGACATTTGGGTTGGTACGTACGATTAGTACGCTTGCTGGCGAATAGGGAGATGATAGGTTTCCCGTCTTCTTACTTACTTGCTTGCTTCTTCTCTATCCTGTCTGGTATGATAGGCATACGCCGGAGATTCCATTGTCGCCATTCTAGCCGGACAGTTGGCATCCATAGCAGCCACCAAACGAGGACCTACGGGACCCTTTGAATTGTCCACGGGATTCCTCCTTGTCGGTGGCCTCATTGCTTCACTGCTTTGGAAGGAAAATGTGGCGGAAAGCAGCGCCGATAGCAACGCAAAGCCATCCATCCGGGAAGCTGTAGAAGTGGTAAAGAATGACCCCAAAATCATGCTGGTGGGAGCCACCCAAAGTCTATTTGAGGCTGCCATGTACATTTTTGTTCTGCAATGGCCACCCGCCATTAGCAAATCTGTCGTCAAGGCGTTTGGGGAAGGAAGTGCCACTCCGTATGGTACAGTCTTTTCCTGTTTCATGGCATGTTGTCTCTTGGGATCCACACTGTTTGGACAATTGGCCAAAATGGGTGTGGCAACCGAAGTCTTCACGTCTGTCTTTTTGGCTGTTGCCACGTTGGCCATGACCGCTGCCACTTTCACCGTTTCAGCCACATCTTCTGCCATTAGCATGAGCTTGGCCGGATTGATGGCTTCCTTCTTTGCCTTTGAAGCAACCGTGGGAATGTACTTTCCAAGCATTGGCACGCTGAGAAGCAAATACGTTCCCGATTCACACCGGTCCGTCATCATGAACCTGTTTGGTATTCCATTAAATCTGCTGGTGGTCAGTGTATTTTTATCCACTGAAATGCTTGGGTTGAAGGGGGCGCTGGCAGTGTCATCGGGAGCTCTTGGCGTTGCGTCCCTATGCATGTTTAAGCTACGTTCTATGGTGGCTACATCCTCCTAATTGCTAACGAGAGAAACATCTCTAAATTACTCTATCACACGATGTTCTATGATTTTTGTTTGCTTGTCGGCTACATTAGTAGCGCACCTGCCACAAGTTCATCATGCATTGTCATTGCTTTCCTCGGGCGTAGAGGCGAGTTTGTGCTTTCCGATTTGCTTGAGATCTCGTGTTGCCCTACAGGATACTCCTTAGCACTACAAACAGCAAAAACAAATTGCCTACCAGCAGTGAGACTTTGTCGGCACCACCACTTGTCTCTGCTTTCAGCCCATCGTCTGCTTTTGAGTCATCACGACTGGTACCAACAACGCCTGGCTCATCAATGCTAATGCCTAGCGTCATGGCACTGGAACACGGAGAGTCCGGAAAGCAATGGTCGCAGGTTGTCACAATGGGGTCCGCACACTGGACCATTGCTGTAGTGGAATTGAGGCTCTCATCACTACTGTTACACAAGGTGGTGAAACAATCGGCTACCGAGAGACAAACCTCAGAATCACAATGCGCTGGATGATTGTCCATGATCATTCCTTCCATATCATACATTGGCTTGTCAGGTAACTGATTAAAGACAAATTCTTCCACCTCCATTCCGACCATGGCCGCACATGATCCAGCCAAGGTGGCGTAGCGCGCATTGTCGGGTACTGCCGTCGTTTCACGAAAAAAATCCTCTGGTGGACAGTAGGAAATACTGTTGCAGTCGACAATGGGCGAGCCGCCCGATTGTAAGCGTGCTTGATTGTAGATGCCAGGATTGCCCTTGTAAAAGTAAGTAGAGTACTCTTCCTGGAAGGGCCAATCCAGCTGCTCTTCCAACTCGGATGTTTGACATTCCTGAATGTCGTTGCGTGGAATGCTACCGTTGATACCAACGGGAGCACACGAGTGATATACCAATGGACAGGCTCTCACTGTCGGATCCGAGACGGTGCCAGCTTCTTTGGCTCCGTTATAAACACAGGATGTGTTCTGTCGCACTCCATGTGCTTCATCGGACATGACCGTCACGAGTTGGAGGTGACATCTCTCACAGTAAATGTCAGGGATAAAGAGGGTAATGCTGCTGCGTGTCCATGTGGATGGATTCAGAAAATCAGGTCGACTGTATTCATCGTGGGGAACATGATCCAGCAATAGACAAGATTCAAAACCTTCATCTTGGCCATCCAAACTGAGGGCGAACCGTCCAGGAGACCCAGGATGTGGAATGCTTTCGAGCCACGTAATGGTATTGAGTGCATTGGGTATCAGGGGATATGCCGGAAGAGAGGGATCATCTGGAGCGTCACAGGGTCCTGCTTTCTGGCCCGTCTCGCCTGACCGAGACGGAGGGCATTCCAAGCGAGTGTGAGCCATGACGATGGTCGGCAGGATCAGAAGGAGAAAACCATTCATGGCCAGAACTCTCATTTCGATGTTGATCAATTGATTGGGAAGATTTGGGAAAGTAACCTGAAGATGTCGCTACACTACCGGTATATATTCAAAGGATACTCGGGCACTATGGAGAACACACTTGTGGTTGGGCACACCGGATAGATTGCAGCTTATTTTCGAGTGCTTCAATGATGCGTATTTGTTTGATCCATTTACTTTTGCTCCAGAAAGATAGAAAGCTTTGATCTTGTGCTCATGATCAACGCCACCCAGGCGGTGCGATGATTGTTTTGGTCCTGTGGCACATGGATGACATCATTTCCCGGTACGACTGAATCTCATCATGACGTGTTTAACTTCAGACGCACATGGGCTCATAGATTCAAATTTGAAAGCGCTGCGCGCTCGGCCCTTGCAAGCCCCCCGAAAACCAAAACCAAACAATGGTGGCCACAAGGTGACACAGCTGCTACCGGCACTAGTAGCTCTCATAGTAACACCGTCACCATGGCGACAGACAAGAAAAGGGAGACAAGAAACCTCTATGACAACTATGAAAGATCCAATGAGACTGATGAGCAGCGATACTTGGAGCTCACGGGGCGGCTTGTGTCAAGTGTCCCAAAAAAATCAGAAGAATCAAGAGAGGCAAAAAACCTCTACAACAAAATACACAAGGGAACTGCCAATAAGACAGATGAGCAGCGGTACTTTGAGCTGACTGGAAAGCTTGCGTCAAGTATTCCAAAAACATCAAAAGAGGCAATGAACCTCTACAACAAAATACGCAATGGAAGAGCCAATGAGACTGATGAGCAGCGATACTTTGAGCTCACAGGGAAACCCGCATCAAGCGTCACAAAACGACAAGAGGAAACAGCCCTCTACGACAAACTACGCAATGGAACTGCCAATAAGACAGAGGAGCAGGGATACTTTGAGCTCACTGGGAAGTCTGCATCAAGTGTCCCAAAACGATCCAAAGAGGCAGAATCCCTCTACAACAAAATACGCAATGGAAGTGCCAATGAGGCAGATGAGCTGCAGTACTTTGAGCTCACGGGGAAGCCTGCATCAAGTATCCCAAAAAGATCAAGAGAGGCAAGAGCCCTCTACCACAAAATACGCAATGGAAAAGCCACTCAAGCAGATGAGCAGCAGTACTTTGAGCTCACTGGAAAGCCTGCATCAAATGTCCCAAGAGTGTCAAAAGAAGCAAAAGAGGCAGAAGTCCTCTACAACAAAATACACGGTGGGAGTGCCAATAAGAGTGATGAACAGCGATACTATGAGCTCACTGGGAAGCCTGCATCAAGTGTCCCAAAACAATCAAAAGAATCGAAAGAGGTAAAGACCCTCCACAGCAAAATACGCAATGGAAGTGCCACTAAAACAGATGAGCAGCGGTACTTTGAGCTCACTGGAAATCTTCCATCCAGTGTCCTAAAAGTATCAAAAATATCAAAAGAGGAAAGAGCCCTCTACCAAAAAATACACTTTGGAAATTCCACTAAAACAGATGAGCAGCGGTACTTTGAGCTCACTGGGAAGCCTGCATCAAGTGTCCCAAAACGATCCAAAGAGGCAGAATCCCTCTACAACAAAATATGCAATGGAACTGCCAATGAGACAGATGAGCAGCGATACTTTGAGCTCACGGGGAAGCCCGCATCAAGCGTCACAAAAAGATCAAAAGAGGAAAGAGCCCTCTACAACAAAATAAACCGTGGAAATGCCAATGAAACAGAGGAGCAGCGGTACTTTGAGCTGACTGGAAAGCCTGCATCAAGTGTCCCAAAACGATCAAAAGAGGCAGAAGCCCCAAAAAACAAAATACACATTGGAAGTGCGAAGAAGACAGAGGAGCAGCGGCACTTTGAGGTCACGGGGAAGCCTGCATCAAGTACCCCAAAAAGATCAAGAGAGGCAAGAGCCCTCTATAACAAAATACACAAGGGAACCGCCAAAAAGACAGATGAGCAGTGGTACTTTGAGCTCACTGGAAAGCCTGCATCGAGTGTTCCAACCTCACGCAGCAGAGCACGAATTGGTACAAAGCGGAATGCAGACTGCATCAACAAGGAGCACACTCAGCGCAAGAAACAAAAGCACGTGGCTGATGCTGTTGCTGTTCACGGGAGGACCATGATGACCCTGCGACCTCGAAGAGGCTCAATTAACTATGCTGAAATTCGAAGAGGCACGGGAAGCCAAGACGAGCACTCCAATTCATCCTGTACTGACATTGCTTCTGATGGGGACACGGAACCTCATAACAGCGCCTGTACTGACATTGATTCTGATGGGGACGCGGAACCTAATCACAGCGCCAGGGATGAGGGCAATGACAAGAACCCCACTCTAGAAGAGGACAACCTCCTTGTAGATGACACACAACAGGATGTCGAAAATGTGTCAATCTTGCCCACAGAACTTCCTGTGCCCGATGCGGAGTATGTCGAGCAACAACCTAGCACCCCATCCCACCATCACCTTGACACTGAATCGGCTGCTGCTGCTCCTTCTCCTTCGGGCAAATGCACCCCTCGAACAACGAAATGCCACACTCTTCCAGTGCGGAGGAATCATCATGCAGGCAAAGAGAATGATCACGATCGTCTTACCCCATTCCACCAGTTGACGGAATCCAACATGCAATCTTCCACCACTAGACCACCAACCCCTGTCAAATCCGTCCGGGAAGATGACAGCGATGACGAGTCTACTATTGCTTCAGTACCATTGGGAATGAAGAACGCGCCCAACGAGGGCAACACGCCCACACTTCCTCATCATCCTGTTGGTGACTCCAACACGACCACAACAACCGCCCCCCCTAGGAGGGTTTCTTCGCCAGCACCCAGCAACGGTGGGTATAAACATGATCTCGTTGGAAGTGCTGCTAGCGAATCCTCTAACACTGGTAGTTGTACAGCGACCACGGAAATCAATCCTCTGTTCCATGCACAGCCTCCAGCAGGCAACAATCCGCCTCGTGATTTTTCTTCTCTGTCGGCATTTACCCTCCGGTTCTGCCGCAGTGACTTGGAGCCAGGCTGGTATGTGGATGTGCGAGTTCCGGCATCACCTGACAAACTTGTGCGGACAGTGTTTAACTCAGAAGCAACCACAAAAAGACTTCGAAAGCTGACCAGTGACCAGAAACGAGGGCTCCAACGGGGAAAGAAGGAAGTAGTGATGGAGTATGTCAATTGGAAAACCAAGCATGTCTACAGAACCTTCATGACAAACGATCTGGCAAGGTTCTCTACACTGAATCTGCATGAGGAGATTGAGAGAGATGACAGTGGAAAGATTGTAGAGGGGGCAGCAAGTCCAGTTACTGTTCATGTTTACCTGAGAGACAAGTTTGGTGACGATGATGGGAGCGTTGCCTTTTTCCTTTAGTGTTCCAGTACATCTTTTGTGGTCGGTCGGTCTGTAGGATTTTGATGTTGCATATCAAGGAGAAATGAAATTATTGAGAAACTAACCTAAGTGACTGCCAAAGCACGAAATTGCCCGGGACGTTTGAACGCAAAAGCTCAATTTCCTTTGCCGCTAGCGGGGATCCAGCCAGGGAGCCACTGCCGATATCACCGGCCTACTAGGAACGAACAATGGTGTCGCGGTACCAGCGGATGGTGGGGCAAGTCTTTTGCCCCTCTAGCTAGCTTCCCATCTACTACTGCATGTGCGATAGAGCAATCTAGATGTAATACATATAACCGCAAACTAATTGTCGCCACCGCCTCTATCTTTGTCGCTTATGCCAGTGCTTTCTTCAATCGATCGCATGCTTCGACAACTGACTCTCTGGGCGCAAACGCACTCAAACGCAAGTACCCTTCTCCACCAGGACCGAAACCAGCGCCGGGGATGGTCACCACTTGCGCTTTTTCCAAAATCATGCTAAATGCATCCCATGATCCACCGAGGCTCTCTGGGAGCTCGACAAAGACGTAGGGAGCATCAGTACCGCCATATACTTTGTACCCGATGCTTTCCATTGTTTCTCGAAGGATGCTGGCATTTTCGAGGTAATAGTCAATCAAGGTATTGATTTCCTTCAAACCTTCCGGGTCTAGGCATGCCATACCTCCGTTCTGTACAATATTGGATGCCCCATTGAACGCCGTGGACATGACACGGTTGAAATCATTGCGGACGGGAGTTCCATCCGAGAAAGTAAGTTCCGATGGCACGACAGTCCATCCTAGACGAACTCCTGTGAAGCCGGCGTACTTGGAGAAACTGTTGACTTCGATGGCCACTTCCTTGGCTCCTTCAATCTCGAAAATACTCTTGGGCACTCCCTCGGAGCGAATAAATGGAGCATATGCAGCATCAAACACCAAAATGGATCCACGTTCCTTGCACAGCTTGACAATCCCTTCTAGTTGCTCTCGTGTTGCTGCTGCCCCAGTGGGGTTGCTGCGTTTTGTTACACGATTTGGTGAGTTTTCTCATCATATATATATTCAAATCATCTTCATTGCTCTCATCCAGCCAAAGAAACTAACTTACTTTGGGCTGCAGAGATAGACGACATCAGCTCGGGGAGCATTTTCGTAGTCTGGGAAAAAGCCATTCTCTGCGGTGCAGGCCATGTAAACGATGTTGTCGTACTGCATAGTCTCCGAGTTTTGTGTTCCAGTTTGTCCCATCATAACCGAAGTGTCTATAGAGCAAAAATGAGATGACCATGGAAACGTGAGCAGCAGTTGGTTTCTGTAGCAAGGCAACTTCCTTCAACTAGCTAGACAGATCACGGCCAAACAAACGTGGCTTCCATCAACATAAACAGCATGACTTACCAACATAGACGGGATACGAAGGATCTTGGACAGCACTGGTAACTCCAGCTCCAAACATTTGTTGCAATCTCATAATATCGCACTTGGCTCCGTCACTGACAAAGACATCATCGGGGGAGATGAGATCATTATAGAGCGTACTGGCAATTTTCTCTCGAAGACGCGCTTGTCCATTTTCGGCTCCATATCCCGAGTATCCTTCCTTGGTTCCAAGTTGGGACGCTCCAGTGACGAGTCCACTGAGAATATGTTCCGGAATGGGTTGTGTGGTGTCACCAATTCCCAAACTGATGATGCGATCGGCCATGTCGGGATTTTCTTCGAGGTACTTGTTTCGTCGACGTCCAATTTCAGGGAACAGATACCCTCCCGCAAGCTTGCCAAAGTTGGGATTTCGTTCGACACCGGCATGCAACTGGGAACTCGATGTCTTGCTGGTGGTGGAGGACAAACCTGCCAATGAGGAGAAACCGTGTGCCAGCGGCAAGGCCAGGAAAGCTGCTGCCAAAGAAAACTTCATGGTGGACTTTTTTTCTTCCTTTTTCGAGATGAGCAAGCAAACTAGAATGAAAGTTATGTGGTTGACAAGGAAAGCTGTTGTGGTTGCAAGGACAACACGAAGAATCAAATCTACCCTGATGAATGAAGAATGATGTGGAGGAAGATGAGGCTGGATCAAGGCTGTGTATTTGTACGGTTCTGGAGACCATCGTTTGGGTTTGGGATCTTCCGGCCTTTTTGAAGTGTCAATCGTTGAAGTGTGACGTATGTTCCTATCCAGGACTTATTATTTCGTGACTCAAGTTTCCGGCCCCACACTGGCTCCTTTCTTTTCTTTTGGCACCAATGACAATAATGACGGCTCCACTCTGTTCTTTCTTCCACATCCGATGTTACCACTTCTGACCATGAAGTCAACTATCAGGACTCTTCTTTTGGTGGCTATCACCCCGTTAGTAAATGCTGATTACGATGTGGTTACTTTGACTCCGGAAAACTATGACGAGCTGACTGAAGGGAAAACTATCTTTGTGAGATTTTTCGCTCCATGGGTAAGCTACCGAAACTTGTTGAATAAATGAGAGAGATGTAGTAGTTGCCTTGCCTTCTCAGTTCATCATCTCTCTTCTACTCTAAATTATCTACGACAGTGTGGTCATAGCCGAAAAATGGTGAGTACATAAATGAAAGGATAAGAGAATTTTCATCAGCTTGAGGTAGCTCACTCCAAGTCTTCTTTGGGTTACTTCCGTCCTAACAAAAGGCACCAGAGTGTAAGACTATACCCAACAGAAATGCAAGGTTCATTATCTTTCTGGGATCACCTCATCGGGCTCACTATAACATTGTCTCCACACTATTTGTATATTTTCTTCTTGAATCACAGGGGCCAAGTTGGCCAAGGACTGGGAAGGCGACGATGTGGGTCTCATTGCCGATATCGATTGCACGGGAGCGTCCAAACCAATCTGCGATAAGAATCGAGTCTACAACTTTCCAACACTCAAATATGGAGATCCGGCGGCCCATTCCTTGGACGAGTACGGAGGCCCTCGTTCCTACGACGGCATGGCCGAATTTGCCCAAGAATTCTTGACACCAATCTGCAATCCAACCAATCTAGACGAAACATGTGATGACGAGGAAAAGACATTGATGGAGGAATATCTCAACTTGTCCAAAGAAGAGATACAACAACGAATCAAAGAAGAAAAGGGAAAACTGAAACAACTTAAAAAAGACTATCAAGCCAAAATTGACAAATTGCAAGAAGATTATCAGGAGATGGTGGATGCCAAGGACCAGAAAATCCAAGAGATTGAGAATGGAGACCTCAAATACATGCTCGCAATACAGAGGGCGCGGACTAAAGGTATCGATGGACCAGTAGACGACGATGGCGAGGCATCCACAAAGGAGGAACTATAAACTAAACGTTAGACTTAGCCCCGTCTGCATAGTGTACTGGTTACTCGGCTGTCATTGCAGGAGTAGAACCAAGTAACAAATCTCAAAACAACATGAGTGTTTTGCAGATCCAGACCAGAGCCTCTTGAAGACTACAATGATGGCCCCATCATCTGTAGTATAAAGAATGCCACAACACTCTTTCGTGATGACCTGTGCATTGCTGACATTTTTGCTGGATTAGCTGAGCTTGTATGGAGAGGTGTTTCAAGGAGCGGCGGGATGTTTGAATGAGCGGTGGGATGGCATAGTTATTTGCCAATCAACCAAGGTCCCGGCCATCAGTTAGTTAAAAGACACCAATGATCTCACCAATGATGGGTCAAAGAAAACTCCAACCGCACACACCCATACAACGTCGATTGGTGTTGTTTTCGTAGACAGCCCCCGGTAACCACTCCTACCGTACTTGTTGTCGTTGTTGCGTCATCCTGTTGCTTCAAAATCAGAGGGAAAGACTCGATAGCGTATCTTTTGTTGTAGTTTTGGTCGCTTCCATGGATAATGAAGCTGCGTCGTGAAGTTTTGACTTCCGTTGTCGCCATGGAGTTTTCTATTCCAGGCACTGTCGATAGAGTACAATTGTGCACGTTGCGCCTTTCCCAACAACACAGCCCATCGCGTATATGTGGACCGCATTGTCCCAACCAATTCTTTGTTGGCTTGCAATAGGAAGCAAAAGTCTTGTACTCCCGTACGATTGACAGTCCGACGGACCTTTAGTCCACGCTTGTGCAACGCATCCACAACGGGCTGTACATAGGAATCTCCACGAGAGGCAATAGCAACGCGAGTACCAGCCGGCAAATGCCCCAAGAGCTCGTTGGCAACCTGGGATGGTGACAATTCTTCGTAACCCCTTTCCAGGAAATTCCTCTCTCGCATCTCTGCTCGAAAGTTTCGCAAGTGCTAGAGTTGGAGATTTTCGCGTGTATAGTAGAGTAGAGTTATCCAAATTGCGTATTGTAGTGATGCCAGGCGAGGAAGAAATTGTTGTTAGACGTAACACCACATACGACCAGATTCTACTACTCAGTAACTCTGACTTACCAAAACAACTTCATCCAGAGCAGGCTGATCTTCAGCGCAACATGCTTGATAGTCAAACTCTAACCATTCCAGAATCTGATTGTAGTATTGGTCAACCAACACGTCAAAGCTAGCCAGCTGATTAGTCACCAAGAATGGCAGAGAATACTTGTGGAGGTTTGTTGTTGTTGCATTGGTCTCCATTTGTAATAGTGATTGAAAATAGGCCAGTTTCTTGTGCAAACAGAAGAGCTCCTTGGTGCCACAATCGGCATCTCCTGCGTCAATTATCAACTTTTGCCGGTGATTGTCTTCTCCCACCCAATCTATTTGTTGTTGTCGTACTGCCACAAAGTCTGGATCCCATCGGCCCCCTTGATATTCCAGACCACGCAAATTAGGAAAGCAAGCCTGAACGTTTTCCACGGCTCCTTTCCATTTGGTTCCGCGCTGCCGTTCCCCAATCAACGTGACATGAATATCGGGTATGTTTTCTTCCATCCACAACTGAACCCCCTTGGCAAAGACCCAATGGGACAGTAGATTGGCCATTTCCCCTCCCAAGCGAACAATCAGAGTGACGGATCTTCTCCCTGTCAATTGCTCTTGTCGCGCCAAAGATGAATGAGAACTGTCTGCCAACGACAAGGAAGGCAATTCTGTTTCCTTTCTCTCCCATTGCGACGACGGAAGCGCCGAGAGCAGGCCAGAAGTCTTCGAAAGCAACACGATAGCCAGAGCAGGCAACAGAAGAAAGACACACTTCTTCATGATTAATGCCTGGCCACCATGATGTCATTTCACAACCTTGGTGCGGAAATCGTTCAACTACCGAAACTAAAGTGGTTGTGACAGGGGGGGGATCAAGCGCTTTGCTTCGGTGGGGTATCAGGCTACCGGTGGTAGGGAGCTGTGCAAAATGGGATTTTTAAAAGCCAGAGGAGCTGTAATGCCTACCTTTCCCTTGGGAAGCAGATTTCGCCCTGCTGCCGGTACAACAGCTAGACTGCCGGTACTACGGTACCGGATCCCGATAGCATCACAGCTCTATCAACACTAAAGGACAACAGGTTCTGCGAAGCATACCGGTAGCAAGCTGCACTCTAGCTAGCTAGTATTGGTACGAATTGGTCCCGACTTTGGCTCTTTCCAAAACTACAACTCAAAAAATAAAGTCCAGAATTCCAATCGGAAAAAACTGTGTTTATTGCATCAGTAGTCTTTCTAAAGGTGGCAGACATGGAGATTATATATATTGTTGCTCAGCCAATCCACCACTTAGCTGCTTAGCTCTGTACGAAAGAAATTCCAACTCGAATGTTTGGACACCAACCAACACGCTAGCCAGCCATCTCTGATGATATAATACACAAACTAAAACTGAGAGCTCATTTCTCGCCATGGTCCATAAATTCATCTGGATCAAATCCCGGTATGGGCGGAGTCCACATGGGAATGTGTCGCCATAATGGAGGTCCTTCGTCATCTTCCTCCAAGGCGGACGCTCGCAGGTGTTTGGGTAGCATGTCGACAGCATGATTTTTCAATTTGATCCTGCAGGCCATCATGTGCTGCTCTTCATTGTGCCGTTCAAACATTCCAATGACATAGCTTCGTCCCACGTTGTATCGTCTTTGCATTTCCTCCTCGGACGCCGGCGGTGGCTTGGTCATGGGGGCATCGAGTGCTGCCACTACTTGTTTGTAAATCTTGCCGCCTTCTTCGCCACTTGTTGCGGCTGGAGTCGACAGTAACCTGGATAATCCATTACGGTGATGAGAAGGAAGAGCACCGTTTCTTCTCAACGCAGATGTGGTAGCTCGAGGCAGCGACATGGTTTGGATCATTCCTCTCTGATTTCGGTGGTGGATGTGTTGTGAGGTTGTGTGGTTGTTGTTGCGATTGGTTAGATTTAACCTGAACACTAAGCCGGTTTTTAAAATGAGAATGGGAACCTGGGAAAATTCGGCTTTTTTTCAGCATTCGTCTCCTGTTTCCTCAGTTTGCTCGCTACTTGGATCCATATGACGAACACATGCATGCAATCCAGCCATTGTAGCCAGCTACGGTTCCACAGGCAGAGAGTTACATCGATCCGTGACAGTGGCAACAGTACCGAACACACTTAGGTTCCGCTTTACTTGCTACACTCCGTTGCCGGTATCTTGCATTGGATCCTTATGACGAATACATGCACAACCGAACATTATGAATCCAGCCATTGTAGCCGGCAGCGGTATAGCTACAGCGACGACCGTGGCAACAGTACAGCTGTACCGAAGTTCGGCTTTGCTCGCTACGGTTACCGATACCTCGCATTGGATCCTTATGACGAATACATGCACAACCGAATATTGTCAATCCAGCCATTGTAGCTAGCTGCCGTATAGCTAGTGGCAACAGTACGGAAAGTTCGGCTTTGCTCGCTACACTTCGTTACAAGTACCTTGCATTGGATCCTTATGACGAATACATGTACAACCGAATATTGTCAATCCAGCCAATGTAGCCTGCTACCGTACAGTTACATCGGCGACAGTGGCAACAGTACTTACCGAACACACTCAGGTTCCGCTTAACTGGCTACACTCCGTTACCGGTACCTTGCATTGGATCCTTACGACGAATACATGCACAACCGAACATTGTCAATCCAGCCATCGCAGCCAGCTACCGTAGAGTTCATCGATCGGTGAGAGTGGCAACAGTACCGAACACACTCAGGTTCGGCTTTGCTTGCTGCACTCAGTTACCTCGCATTGGATCCTTATGACAAATACCTGCACAAAACCGAATATTGTTAATCCAGCCATTGTAGCCAGCTGCCGTATAGCTAGTGGCAACAGTACTTGACTTGCGCATACAGAAAATGGGTACCGACACAGGAATCACCACCAAAACAGTAGGAAATAACAAGAAGGGATGAATCCGGTAGGAGGATCCACTCTCTTGTGTGTTGTTGCCTCTTCCGGTGGCTGTTGCCTTTCAATGACTCACGACGATCCGTTCATGCTGTTGGTAGGGCTGGAGTTAACAGAGCCTCCGTAGCGGTAGCCTCGTTCGTTTGTTCGTTCGAAAAGGACGTGACAATGGTAATTCCTCGGCCGTCAGCAGTAAGAGAATAGAAAGTAAGAAATAGATATGGTTTTCTCTTCTCTTCTCATACTGAAGAAAACCGGCGACTTACCCTTGTTATCCAACTTGGCCGTCTGTGGCTGAGAACTGACTGCCATCCCATCATCCATAGGATTCAATGAGGGATGGCTTTCGAATCTACACCGGAGAAGGACGGCTTGAGTGAGCGGCTTGGATAATAGAGGTGTGACCGATTCGATTCGAATAATTAAAACAACTCACCTGTTGGCTGCCGAGCTTGGAATTCTCTCCTGAATACCATAGAAATCCAATGAGGGAGAGAAGTCAGAGCTGTACCTTCAATTAACACTCTTGATAATAGGCTTATTGTACCTCATTGCGATCGTCGATCGATCGGCCGATTGGATAAAGAACTCTTCCTACCGATACGTGGTACTCTTGTCGGCCAAGCTTGGATTTCTCTCCTGTTTGCCATAGCAATTCAATGAGGGAGAGAAGTCAGTGCTGCACCTTCAACAATGGACTTGGCTGGACCTGTACGTATTAGTGGAGAGGTGCGCATGCGATTGGATTAGTTTAACCTTAACCTTAGAAAGTTATTTTTATCCACGAATCAATCTAAATCTTTCGAAAGGGAACTTTTTACTTAACGATACACATGACCGTTGATTCTGCAACTGAAGTGCGGGTACACTAATTTACACAGTAAACGCGAGCCAATCGATTTCAGAGTGCAACTGAGGGGGTAACCTAAAGGAGCGTCGTCTCAGGAGACGTAACATCGACCATGAGGTTTCGTCGTGAACCTCGTTTGTGGAAGTCCAAGAGAGACTTGTTTCTACTATCATATTAGCTGCTAGCTAGCTGGCCAGTTCTGTTGCCATCATGGATCCTGCTGCCAGCTTTAACTTTGACGGTGATGACGACAAGGAGGAATTAGATTCGGACCTGCTCGAGGTGCCCTCGTCGCCCAAGCCTGGCAATCCTCTGAAAATTCTTTTGAAAGGTTACCAAGACCGACTGGAAAAGAACCCGTTGGTCACCAAGTCTATCACTTGTGCGTGTGTCAGTGCTCTGGGTTCTCTCCTCAGCCATGTCAACGATAACAATCCACAAGGTCCTTCTCCCTCAGGCAACAAACCGCCAACCGCCACGAAACTCCAACAATTGGCCGAGATTGCCGCCTTTGCCCTCTACGGAGGACTGGTAGGTGGCCCCTTGACGCATTTCTGGAATCAGTGGCTAGAGAGGGAAGCTGGGTCCACTTCTTGGAAAGTACTAGTGGACCAATTGATTGCCCAGCCACCCATGCTCTTCCTCATGCATGTGGTGCTCGACATGGCGGGAGCGGCGGTACAAGAGCTTCCCAAAGCATGGAATCGATCCTTGCAAAAAACGGGGCAATCTGTCGTCATGAGTTGGAGATTTTGGCCCTTGGCTGTTTATATAATGTAAGTTGGTCTCTCTCGCTTATTTTGGAAATGTGCAGTGACCTTGGCGACAACACTCACATGGGCTTTCTCGTTACTCCAACAACAGAACACGCTTTGCCAAGAAGGAACGTCATCTCACCATCGGCACACATGTGGCCGCACTCTACTGGATGAGCAAAATTGCACGGCAAAGATCAAACTCTGGCATACGATACTGAACTTTCGCAAAAGTAGAAATATAGTAGAAGGAGAATTGGAATTGCAATTTGGTTTATGAAACACCATTTAGCCCTACCTTTTGCGTAGTCTCATATCTATGCATTCATGCTCAAATGTACACACCGCCACTAACACGGTGATCTGATTCTGATCTCCCTACCAGCAGTCACATAAACTTAGGCCACCAGATAATCATCGTCATAGCGATAGCGACCTTCAAAAGGTGCACTCGGTTTGGGGTGCCCGCGGCTGTCAAAACTGCTCTCTTCCAGCTCGTACAGCGTCGGGCTGCTGGTCTTTCGCAAGACTTCTTGTGGATCCACTTCAATCACATGCAAGTCGCCATTGCCATCCGTATATACGCTACCTGCATCACTGGCGTCCTGGTACCGTATTGCACTATTGCGCTGTGATTTGTTGTATTGTTCTTTCCCATCCGGACCATCATTGACATCTCCGTCGTACCCATCATAGTCGTCGCTGCTGCTGGTGCCCTTGCCACCCATGCGATGCATGGAATGGAACTCGCTGTCTTCGTCTGTGGGTTCCAAGTTGTCAGCCAGAATGACATCCGCCTTGAAGGAGGAGCGCAACATGATCATAATCATTCCCATGGTGCTAATCACCAGCAGGCTCGAGAACATCCATGTCAAACCAGTGACGCTGTGGTTGCACGTGCCCTCGTAGACGACATCCGCATAGATCGGTACAATGCGCTCGCAACTCAGCAGTTGCAGTCCTTTGGCCGCGGCCTGTTCCAGAGCATCCAAAATGGCCCTGACAGTATCCAGAGAAGACCTCAGAGGCTCAAAGTCACGTCCGCATTGAAAGGACAGTGTCTCTACATCCACCTTGGCGATAGATTCTTTCAGTTCTTCCACAATGGCCTTAGCATTTGTCTGAGGTGAGGAGAAGTAGCGGTGAGGAGACGTATTCAATGACAAGGTCAAAAGGCATGAAATTAGCCCCAACCAGAAGACAATAAAAACAAGCTGCTTACCAACTCGGCTTCGTGTCTTCTCAAGAACAAGAACGGATCCACTTCTGCTTCGTTAGTGCATTGGAGAAGATAGAACCTAGCAATTTCATATTCAATGGCGTTGTTGTCCAGACCAGCACGTTGAATGCTCCAGAGAATGGTTTCGTCAGGACCACCTCTATGGGTAGGTCCTGCACAAAAATCCGCATTGGCACTGGCAGACAAGGCCATTGCGCCACAAAGAATAAAGGATATCACAATCCAGCTGATAAAGAGAGGCGAAACGATCCACGTGAGCGCGAATTCATAGCAACCATTGGTCACGTCCCAGTGGGCTGCCATGGTCCCAGCCATCAGTAGCGATGCCAAGAACACAATAGGGAGGATAAAGGCAACACCAACCCATTCATTCTCCGCAACCGCCTCCACATTGGCATCCACCTGGTCAATAATGCTGTCCGCTGTGCTCAACCCATCCTCCATTTGTCGAATATCTTGAGTAGCAAATTCTCCCAAGGCAGAAAGCAAATCAATGGCTGCTCCAGCATTATCATTGATGGCAGATGCGAATTCGTCCTCCACAATGTAATTAGGATTTTGCGGACAGAGCCGTTCTTTTTCTAGCTCAATCAACAGCTCATCCCTCACTTCAATGGCGGAGAGTCCCACATCCCGCAAATCCACCGCCAGCAAGGAGGCTTCATCCACCAGCAGCCGCGCACTATCCAATGACACATCAGCTGTTACGCGTGTTTCCTCAACTTGTTGGAAGCCCTTGGTGACCAGTAGAATGGAGAAAATGACGACAAAGAGTCCGGCCACCATGAAAACAATGCGTTTGCGGGTGTTCTTTGTGGCAAACCGTCCCAGTTGTTCTTTGGTAGGATCTTCGGCTTTTAGTGTAAAGGGCCGTCCCCCGAAATATCCCGGAATAGTAGACCAAATGCTCCAGAGTTTGAATCCAATGAGCAGCAACGACCATATTCCAAAAACCACCAGGACAAAGATCCCCACGAACAAGAGACCTTTGATGTAGTCTTCTTGGGCTTGACCACCATCGTCCGTGACAAAGAGCATGCTGAAATCACTGCCGTGGCCAAAGCGGGGAATAGCGGCCATGTTGTCGGTGGAGGTTACAGTTTGGTACTCGAACAACAGACTGTCCCGAAAGGCAGCAGTCACATTCACATCATTGCCTGCATCGGCCAGAGTTGTCTGGACGTTCTCTAAAACTGCAGACGCCATGGTTGGTATTAGCTAGTAGATTGTTGTGGTGGAGGAAACGACAGAGGGGTATCCGACGGAAATAAAGCTCCGAGTTTGTCACTGGCAACACAATGACAACACCAGCTCACCAATTTTTTGATGGGGGACTTGGCTATTCGTCGGTCGGATAAAACACCTTGAGCACGGGAGGTCAATTGGATAGATCGATCGTGCTTCTCGTCAACGGTTTCAAATGCACCCTCGGCTTGGTTGTCACACACAATCAGCACTCGGAGCTGTAACTGCAATAATATTGTTTTTAAAGCGTTTTGAAACAGGACAACTGTACTTACCGGTACAGTAAGCTTCGTATATTGTATGGGTCAAATTAGGGGGGGGGGCAGACACCAGCACGAGCAGAGACATGAAAGGCAGTGTTACTGGTATGCGATACTGTACCTACCGGTATGACATACATGCACTAACTATTTATTTGGATCCAGTAGACTATTGCACAACCGGAGGTACTGGTACTATATCTACTTTTGTTCAAACTGCTAGTGCCCTGAGAACAGGGAAGACCAGGTGCCTTGCCATTTGCTCCAGATGGAGCTTTCCATTTATGGATATTCTGGGAGGCCAATGTGGATATAGACAAGCCAGAGGGGTGGCCTAGTTTGGTCTTTATCTTTTGAAGTGCTAATAAACACCATCAGCATTCAGTCTCTGTACTTTTTGAATCTTGGGGTCTGTTGCAGAACTGAGACAGTTTGATGCATCAGATATCATCAGCTGCCTTGAGAATGGTTGTGTGATTGCCACCATGATCCTATATCGGAAGATTCAGCTTGAAGGAATGGTTGCAATTGAAACCTATCTTCTTGTCATCATTTGCCAAGGTGGGCTTCTGAGATGAAATAGGGGTCATTTGATACTGCCCCCCCCAACAAAATAGGGAGCTCTACAGACAGAAAAGTGAGACGGTAGGGATCGCAATCAGTCTTGGCTATTCCAGTAGGTTATTCTACAGCCACACCTTAACTACCTACAGCAAGAAGTCTTACAGGCAAGGGGAGAAAGGAGGGAACATGATCGGCGCCAGACGACGCCATTGGCAACACTGCAAAATGGGTTCACAGGGATTTTCCAAATTTTGTAGAAAAGGCAAAATTGGTGGAACAGGTGCCAGTGAACAGGATGAAAAAGGAGTCAGTAACAGAGTGATCTATTTTGACAAAACAGAAGACGGATGAAGCTTCATCTCGACATCCAAATTGCAAATTTTTTTCTCATTGTATTGGTAGCTCGTAAACTTTCCTAACCAATGTTTTTTGTTGCTGTACATGTATTCCTCACTACGAGTACCTCCCCTACTAGTAGCTAGCCATCTAGATTCTACTGCAGTTAGCTAGTTTATGCTTCTAAATCTGTCTGATCCCACCCCTGTTGATCCAACAAATCTCCCAGTAGTACAAAGGACCACGAAGGGATCGTGGAATCACAGTAGGAAGGTTCTGAACCGTGGTCTTCTGCCGCTGCCACCTCAGAGGCGCACAAAGATTCTCCCAGCTGCACAAACGACCAGGAAGGGATTGTGCCGTTACTACTGCAGGTACATGTACTGATAGAAGACAATGATGATAAATCTTCAGAGTTGTGAGAAGCATACAGCTCTTGTTGACCGCTTTGTTCAGTACACAAGTCACAATCTGTTCGGCCTCCTTGTTGAGGTGACGTGCAGCATTGATCAATGCATTCAACATGGGCGGAACCTGGGAAGGAGCTCTCGGCCCAGGATGGATCTTTACACTCCACTGCTTTCAAGATACTCTCAACACTGTCGCTCACCTTGTTACTGCTGGAGCAGCAAATGTCTGCCAGAGGTTGAACCCTGAGTTGTACGGCAGCACGGCGATTAAGAAGAGCAATATCTATTAGCCGATTGCGGATGGTATTCTCGTTGCTGCAATACGTGCCATCGGAAATACAAATAAGGTCCATATTGCTACAGAAAGAAAGGGAAGCCAGGTCTAGGGATCCTGAGAGGCCCATTGTTTCTGCTGCAAAGGGACCCAGGGGTGGTGGTGGGCCTCTGGCGGCCCTCTTGTCAGCTATCAAATCTCTGTCGTCAAAGGCAATATGATGTGACAAGTCTTCGTCGTCGCAACAAGAATTGCTGGGTTCCAGCATGTTCTGGTCTTTGTGCAGGCTGCAGAGGGAGCTTCTATACACGTTCATAGCTTTGTTCGGAGGAGGCGATGCTTTGATTTTCGTTTGTTATGGTCTGCTGCTGTGTGGTAGTGTGCGGGTTCGGTGGTAAGTTCTTTCGATAACATTGTCACAAGTACTTCTGAGGAGTTGATGGTTTTGTTTTATGCGAATGAAGCAAGAGGGGTGAATGAAGTGAAAGGAAGTGATCTGATCCCAGATGAATGGTGGCTTGAGAACTCATGCAAACAAGTTGGTTGCCGTCAGAATTCGGGTCAACTTGGAATTTATCAAAAAGAACAAGCTACTGCCAACCGAACAAGAAGCTACCGCCAACCAAAGCTTTTCGCTAGCTAGCTAGTGTTGCCTGTGTCTGTCTTGTTGTTCTTAGACTTGCACCTGTACGCTGATAGATGAGTCGCCAATACGGTGAGTTCCCTTCGAACCTGCTGGCTGCCATCGTGCAGGCCCTTTCAAACTACTAGTACTCTACAACATGTTGTATACCGGTACCGGTAATATCGTAGTTACCACGTTGATTCAGTCACTTCAGATTCCACATGTAGCTAGTAGCACTTCTGCCTGATTTCAGGTGATCTACGGTGAACCAGAACATTCAAACAGTGCGCGTGGTACTGGTAGTCATGAAGTTCCCTTCTAGCTAGCTAGCTCGTAGCTACTGCAGGGAAGCACAGGGTGCATATGGCAGGTTGCTCCAGTGATCATTGCATCTCTCCGGCTCAAGAGATTTGGCCTTGTTGGGCATATGCAGTGCCTTGGTCCTGGATAGCTTCTCAATCAGCCGCTCTACTGCCGGTAGCTAGCTGGTGGCAGGACGAGCTCCCTCGAAGTCGTGACGGGTACCGGAACTGTAGCGTGGGACTGGCGGGTCCCAGATGGGTCATCAAGAAGCCATTAAGGCTGTAAACTGATCACGGGAAAGGTGCTCCCCAGCTCCCAACAAACGCCAAACACCAGCATCCAACCAAACCAAACGTTTCAACAACTAACTCCGTATCCAGACCTTCTGACCATGGCCGATTCTTCCGACGACGGCGGAGGCGATAGCAGTGACAGCGACAGAGATCTCTTTGACGAGAACAAACGGCGTCAACATCGACACAGAGCTCGAGAAGAGGCCATCTATGGAGTTTTCTACGACGACGACAATCATGATTCGTACACACGCCGTCGAAACCGGAAGGAAGACAGTGGATTCAATATAGCGCCTCAATTTGTCAAATCCAACAAAGATAAGAATGAGGATGACGACGACGATGACATCTTTGGTTCCAAAAATAAAGCCGAAGACGATGACGGTGGCGATGATGAAAGCAATGAAGAGGAGCAGGAAGAGCCAACCGCTCAGCCAACCAAGATGGAGGAAACAGCTGCCGAAGAGGACGATACTGAAACCAAGGAAGATATCGCAAGAGCCGAGGAACTCCGCAAGAAGCGAGAGGCTGCGGATGAATATTTTGCGAGCCTTTTGAAACGAGGGAAAGGAGAAAAAGAACGCAGACCATTGAGTAGCACTATTAATGCTGCTGATCGCAGCAAACCACAATTCGCAGCTGCATCGTCATCGGCAGGACTGGGCTTTCACAAGGCAGGTGGCGGTGGCCTCGGTTTCTCGGCTTCGTCGAGAGACGACAATGAGAAGAAGAATGAAGATACAGCACCTCCCATGTTTGCACCTGCCGGCTTGGGCATGCAAGGTGGCCTTGGAATGCCAACAGCGTTTGGTGCCTCCTTTGGTACCAAACAACAACAAAAACCAGAGCCTACCTTTGCCAAAGATCCCAACCTTGGAACTTGGGAGAAACACACAAAGGGAATTGGAATGAAGCTTCTCGCAAAAATGGGGTACAAGGGGAGTGGTGGCCTCGGATCTACCCGTCTCAAGAAGAAGACAGTCGTTGTTGACAAGACAGGGGGCAAAGTAGAGGTCGAAGGTCCCGCCAAGAAGGGTATTTCACGCCCCGTCGAAGTGGTTGTGCGTCCCAATAACTTGGGATTGGGATATGGAAATTTCAAAGAAGCCACGAAATTAAAGAACAATCAAAAGATTGAAGCTGAAGTGAGAGGGATTGATCTGGAGAAACAAAAGAAGGAAGAAGAGGCTAAAAGGAAGAAAAAGTCTGCAGAAACAGCCAACGGACAATCAACTAACAACAACCAGAGTTCCGCCTTGCCGAGCGTGCAAGATATCATGCAACAAAAGGCGTGGAAGCGAGGCTCCAAGCAAAGTCAAAAATCCCGAAAACGACAACGACGGACCGTCATTCCCTATAAGGAGCTTCTCAAAAAGCAAGGTGCCGGCTCTTCTGTAGTCATTGACATGAGAGGGCCTTCCACCACAGCCCCGACAACACAAAACGACGATGTCCCCAAAGAAGTGCCCTTGGGAGAAGAGTTACTCCATAACGTGTCGTTGTTGCTCAACACATATGAAAACAAGGTCCATTCGGGCTCCCACTTTGTCCGCTCTACCAAGCAAAAGGTAGAAAGTCTGCAATCCGACATTGCCAGCATGGAGCAAAGAATGCAAGATCATCGAGAACGTGTCCAGAAACTCAAAATAGTGCTGCAAACAGTCGACCAAATTGAAGACATTGTCAGCAAGACTGCTAGCAGCAGCAAGAACAGCTCTGAGGACATTCTCAAAGTGCAATCGTTGGTACGGGATCTACAAGACTCATTCACTCCTGCAGAGCTTGCAAGACTGCGATTCTTTGAAGTGCTGGCTCCCTCGTTGCTAGAACCCATGATCCAGGCACGCCTTGAGCACTGGGATCCTCTTGAAGCCGATGCAACAAGCAACAGCGACGCCATGGATGCCATTATTGGTTCTTGCGAGCAATACCCGTCGTCAAAGTCACAGGATGCAACAACCATGATGCAAACCATCTTCACGTCACAGTTGCTGCCCAGAGTGAAAAAAGCCCTTGAGTCTTCTCGATGGGATCCAGTTCATGACACAGAATCTGGATTGCAGCTCTATGAAAATCTTTGTCGTCGAGTTGCTGCCATTGCTACTCCGCAGCAGCCTCGGATGAGCGAAGACCGAGAGGAGAATGAGGGACAGATCTTTCCATCCGGACGCGCAGATGACCAAGAGCATGACTCAACAGGGCAACTGAAGGATCTCGTTCAGGAACAGATTATCCACAGGGCAGTATACTCCAGGTTGGCGCGAGCCCTAAGTTACTGGAAACCAAGTTTGGATCAGTCCGGCACCGCACTGATGGATCGCCCCAGTTTGTGGATACTACCTTGGATTCCGCATCTCGATCACATTTCGATCTTGCCGACATTGCTTTCAGATTGCAAACGGAAACTCAAGTCGGCCGTTTCGTTCCTCCATAAGAGCATTGCTGACGACCAGGCGTTCTGTCGTGCCGTACTGCAAACTGTTGGACCGTGGTGCAGTGTACTCCCCAGGGATGCGCTACAGTCATTGGTGTCGACCTCCGTTGTCATACGGGTTGCGAAATCTGTCGCATCGGCAACCTCGAGCGCCTTTCGCAGTGCTGCAACAGAATCGGGATGTCCTTCGTTTGATTGGAGCCTTGTTGACATGACTCTGGAATTGCACGCAACTGGGTTGATTGGGGACAACGATCTGCTAAGCATTATCGAAGGAGAGTTGCTGTCTCGATGGGTAAAGAGGATGCAGGCATGGCTACATCAAGAGCCGTCGCAGTGGAAGGAGGCAGCCCGAGTGTACATTGACTGGCGTTGCCGTCTGCTGAGTTTGGCCAACCAATCGGGCCAAAAGGGAAAGAATACCAAGTCACACGAATGCCTTCAACACGACGAGAGCGTCTGCTCCATATTTTTTGCTGTAGTCTTGATGATACAGGCTGCGGGACAATCTCAACCCAACAAAATCGACGAGCTTCGTCCAACGGCTACGAATTACCGTGCTGTTCTTGCGAGACGGGTACGCGAGGAACGGGAACGTGCAAACGAAGCCTTGCTGCGAATGGATGCTACGGGCATGGCCAATAGTTCAACCCACAACATAGATGTTGAAGCGCGAATCCGGGCGGCTCAACGCAACATTGATGGGCACATGCCGACCTTTCGTGAAGTGGTTGAAGGGTTTGCCAGCGAGAACAACATTGTGTTTCAGCCTCGCATGGGGCCCAATGCAACCAAAGATGGCAAACCAATCTTCCTCTTTGGAAAGACTCCGATCTACTTGGAGTCTGATGTGGCTTTTGCTCTTCAAAACTCGGAATGGAAACCGACCTCACTGGCACAGCTTGCATCGATGGCACAAGCTGAAACCAGCTAGATAGATAACGGCATGGTCTGCTGAAATTCCTGAAACATTGCGGTTCACCTACCTTCAGTTCTATTAGTAGCCTGGGTTGCAAAGCACATCAGCCTGCGCCATCGTCGAGCATCTTGAATGACAATAGCCACTAGCTAGCCGGCACATGGGATTAATTTCCTGAAGAAATTGACCTTACTCCCGGCACATGTACGCCGACAAGTAGGTATTGGCCAAAGATCGTGCTGTCACATTCACTCTTAAGATTCCACCTCAGCAGGTGGACTCATCTGATTTTCATCACCAAGGTTAATGTGTTTGGGAAGGGATTGTTGCCCATAGAGAGGCTAAAAGTGGGCTTTGATTCTCACTGGTCAATCAAAGTATCAAACAGTGTATGAGGCACTATTATACAACCAAAGAGGTCGGGCTCTTGGTCCTCCACACAGATGACAATGCAGCTCTGGAGTGTATCGAGATCACTTGATCTATCTTGAGGGAAAGCCGAACCCTGTCAGGCTCTCTTCAGATTGGAGATTGGCTGCAACCATTGGGAGTGGCAGTTACAGGTATTGGCACCTTGACAAAGATTGGTGTCTATGTGCCGTTCTCCACGGATAAGACACCATGGTAATTGAAAGGTTATCTTCATCCCACCACTGTTGATTCTGGCAGTATATGTTGTTTGGAGAATGTTTTACAAAACGCGCAAAGCTACCCAGCTGAAGTAAGAGTAACTCTTGAAGTTCCAGCGAACAGTACCTGGTATCACGAAGAACTGCTTTGGGGCCATAGCTGCATGGTTTGATGTTGGATTCATACGGCACCGCATGTCTTTTGGTGATTGTATCTTGCAATGGCAACCAAGGATCCGTTGACTCGAGATTGGAGGAGACCTCTCTTTACAGGTGACCCTGTGTCAATTTGAATGTTTGCATATCTTTAATAACTAAGACATCCTTTATTTACACTGTGTATACCTTCCCATTTCCAGCAAGCTAACCAGCCAGGAGGCCCAACAAACAATGTGGCTTCGCCTTCAATCTTCTAGTTGTTTGATTTGAACAAGGCGAAGTTTGACCCCGGAGAAGTGCCATACAGCTGGCACAAAGCCTCCATTCCCACTATGTAGCTCATCTCGAAGATTTTCAAAGACAATGAAAGGCTTACCATCATCTATGGATGCGCAGAGTGTCCCATTCCTCTCCTCATTTGGCAGCAAATTCAATGTCAAGGTAACTCTTGATCCTTGTTTGAACCTTGGATGGCCTTTGGACAGTGTCTTCTTATTATGGCATGCCCTTCCATCAACACCTAAAGCCCATCCACCCTCTTGATTCCCAAGCCATTCCAGCTGGCAAGTGTTTCCAATGGCCATTCCTATCCAATCGCCTTGGCTCTTCTCAACAACATCAAGAGTCCATTCATGCCTACCACATGAAATTGGAGGATATTCAAGGAAATCAGATGCCCCTGATGCAGTCACATGTTTGGGCATGCTGGATTCAGTTGTCAGCGAGTTTTTCCAGACAACAGGTCCACGGGCTCTGTTGAAGACCACACTATGTTGCTCCTTTGACGTCATAGATTGCTTTTCGAAGGCTTCCAAGAGACGTTCTGGTGGCACTAAACCAGATGACTTGACTGTGGTGGATAAGAGCTCTGGGTCAATCCAATCCAACTGGATGTGCTTCTTCACCAACTGAGAGGCAACAACTTCTGGTAACTCACCGCCAGCAACCATACAACCATGGTATTCCTGGTTCTGATTGGCCCAATGTGAAACAAGCTCAAAGAACCTGAATTCACTAATGTGAACAGTATCACACTTGAGAAGTTCTTCCAGAGAGTCAGCACTCAGCAGTGAAATAGCAGTCATGTCAAAGGCATCCATATTCAAGACAAGACATGAGACAGCTAATTCTTTCAGCTGAGCTGGAACTGCTGGGCCTTCTTGCTGGCATGCTTCCAAAATGGCAATCAATGATGAATGGTTCTTAGACAGAACATGAGATATGTGATTGAAAACCTTCTCACACAAATCCGGAAGCTCGAAAAACATGGCGGCAGCAATTAGTGAAACAAAGTCGCCTTCATCAGTTCCATCTCCTTCGCTTCGAAGCACTCCAGGTGAATTTGTTACTATGTACTCAACAAGTGCTTTCAAAACGCAACCTTTGTAATCCAAATGGATCACATCTGAGTTTGCTTCTGCAAATGCACCCAGAAGCATACTATGGAAGACTCTGCTTCTTGCTGCTAGCCAAAATCTATTGGCGCGAACCGAGACCCCATCATTGCCTCTCAAGGTGAGATTGCAAAGTGCTTCGTCTGTCAAGAAGCTGGCAATGCAAGCATCACGAGTAATCTCCTCGAAAGGTGGGAACTCTGATTTGTTAAAAGGAAGCTCCGGCATGTTAGAACCGACTGAATGAATAGGTGCATTGCCTGGAGGTGAGTGGCCGCTGTTGGGTGATACTGGCGTGGTTGAGGTTCTGAGAGGCTTCGATGACAGGATGTGTCAACAAAGAGGCACGAATGAGGTAGGGGGGGTTTAGAGTAGGGAAATTATCTACGGAAGCCAGCCGGGGCCAGGCTTAAGCAAAGAATGAGGTGATATCTGTTGAAGAGACTAAAGGTAGCGATAGATGTATTACGAATGATGTTATAAGATTATGAGGAAAAGCTACTTTGTTGTCTCTGTATATCTGTAGATCTGTAGATGGGTGGAGGCTAGATTCTGGTTGACGGTTGACCGTCAGACGGCCGGAATCAGCACACCCTCAGCCTCTACTCAGGTATGGGCTGGAGATATCGTGGGCGTTTGAGAATGTGGTGAGTCGTCGGGTGATGCTTGCTGAAGTAGTCAGCATCATTCTCTTTGCCCGGGCGCCAATATACTAGGAATTGGCCCTGTTGTATGCGATCTCTGATCCAATAGAAGCGCATGTCGATTGCTTTG